GCTTGGCGCGTCGTCGGAGTCACTTGGGCTCATAACCTATTGAGAAGATGAAGTGAGCGGTAGAAGGCAAGTTTGGAAGTAAATGTATTTAAGGTCCTTAGTTTGCTATTCCGAGCTACCTCTAAGCCTTTCCTATGACGTCATCGTGGGCGCAATCATGTCGCGTCATCGTGTGCGTAATCATGTCGCGTCATCGTGTGCGCAATCACGTCGTCCTATGGTCCGGAGATCCGATCGCGCAACGTGTGCTGATAGCTGTTCTTCTAACACACGAATAGTGAAGATCGACAGACCAGTTGTTTGCGGGTGGCCAGCTGTGGACATATTCATGTTGATGCTTAGCCCCTAAAAAAGCTTTGCCAAAATTTTGCTGTAAAGCGCAAATCTCGATACGACACAATGAAGCCCAGCAAGCAATAGGGGAAAAATACTTTGCCAAGGAGCAGCTTTGCTGTGCTTTCTCCAGTAAAGGTGTCGCTGGCAGCGGTGAGATGAGTCTACAATGATTAATAATCTGATTTGGAGGAAGTATTTTCTCCAAATCAATGCCAATATCACGACCGACTTGTAAAATGCCATAAATGACCTTACAAATAAACGGCCAACATTCTTTCAGAACCGGAATTCTGGCCAAAAGCGCCATCGCATGCGGCGAAAATTCGTTCTGTTGATATAATATGCCTGTGCGTATATACATGCTTTTGACTTGCACATGTTGAGCCACCGGAACACAGCGTTTTTTTCACATGTCGTCCATCTTTCGAGAATGGGAGTATCATGTTCCTCTTACGGAAAATTTGTGGAGTTGGTGGCGAAGTTGCCAAATCTAACACATCACAAATGATCAAAGAAAGTTGAAGTCCTGAGTACGTACAATTGCGAGTAGTCGAGGAAGAATCCTCACGAATTTATGCTGAAAACCGGCAAGGCTGATGTCAATCAGAAGCGAGGTGTGAAAGAACAGGCGTTTCAAGCTTATAAACCGCTTCAAGGGGCGTCACGGCAGACGTGCTCGTCGAAATTGCTGCGGAGGCCCAGAACTCGGTTGAGAAGATATGAAATGTTTTTATGAATGCAAACAAACAGGCACAAGAAGAGCGAAGAAAGAAGTTATGATATTCGTTTACGCTGTAGCAACAAGAAAAAGATAGACAAGACAGTATCGCTTCTAGACAGTAATGCCTGCTCGTGTTTGCTAACAAATTCCACTTTATTATATGTTGCCATAAAGACTGCGAATTTGGCAGACCACGTCTCTCAATGGCAACTTCACTTAGAAAGTTTACATGGCGGTTCCAAAAAGCATGCAAGTACGATGTACAAGCTAATCAACAGCATCTACGGATATGATCAAGCCGGTACCAAATGATGATATCTGTATGAAGAGATTGGTTTAAGTGAATATCACGAGATTCGTGCCCGTTCGTACGTCGTTGTGACTGTTGTGAACAGACTCATGGTGGAGTTGGAATCGCAATATACCGCGAGTTCATTTAAAAAAGCTCCCAGTATGATACTGAAAGGAAGAGCCTCACATCGACAGACGCATTTTACCAAACATATGCAGGAAGGTTTAGTCAAGAAGTGTGATGTGCGCAATCTCAAGATTCTTGGATAGAACTTAACTTCCGACAAAACCCCACAATAGATTAGAACCAAGTCAAAATGTTGAGAGCTCATTACGTCGCTGTTGCATGCCGCAAACGCGTTTCGCTTTGTATATTCTCCCTCGTTTTCTTGACTATCCGCATGAAGTGCATCAGCAAGCGACAACATGTGTGCCACGTGACATTACCATTGCCCCCAGAATGAATTCTGGAGGCTATTGCAGTTGCAAACCAGTGCGGCAATAAGTTTACGCGTTGATCGACCTCGGATGTGCTATAGTTGCTAGTCGCTGGACCGATTGTGTTTAAAAGCAAGCGTCAAGCAGCAGAGAACATGTATTTTTAGTTCGTGATCTAGTGTGACTTCCGCTTATCGAAATGGGTTTAATGGTGGGGAGCCCGACCGTAATTTATCTTTACAATAGGATCGGCTATCAGCATTACCATTGATAATTGCGAGCAGTTTTTGTCCGCGATCACGCCAAAGCCAAGGATATTGAAGATCAGTCGGGCGATATTAAAGCCACGACCGCTGACTTCGTATGGCACGTGGAAGTTAGGAGCATGTAATTTAGCAGCAGTGTTGAGCTCTTTTATCACAGTGTCACAGATGCACACACGTTGACTTGCGTGTTAATCTAGAAGGACATATTAATTAAGCAGTTTAACCTGAATGTCAATCTCAACATTTTTTTTTGCACAATAAGTTTACTTTACTGTATAGTTAAATATTTTGTGTCAACATAATTAAAATTATCTTTGGCAGGATTTTAGAGCGGATAAGTTGTTATCAGGAAAATATGTTGAGCAACATGTAGAAGTGAAATGAGCTATTTGAATGCTAAACAAACACACCAAGATTGATATTGTTCAGAGCACGGGCAATATTCTTTTCAGCTGAAAAAGCTTCTAACCGATAGCCGTTCAGAAATGACCTCAAAGCTGACTTTGACACTGCGACAAAACTCGCAAACAGTGGCTGAATGACATGCTAAAAATACTGTACGACCAGTTGCCCAGACCATTGCGAGTTGAGTCTATGCATTGACGCATTTTGCAGCTGTTTGGAGAAATCTATAACGTGTATGATTCTTCAACTATTATGAATGTTAGTAACTTTTTAATTTACATTTTTTTGACAGCGACATTAAATTTTGCTAAGATAGTATCTAACGCGGGCTCTACAAACTTTCGTGGTCATGTGCCCAAATTTGCACTAATCGCTCCAATATTCTTAAAATGGCGCTGCGGCGATTTCAAAGATCCTTGAGAGCTTAGACGCCGGTATAAGAACTTGGCCGCTCACGATAATTATCGATCAGCTTACCGTAAGTGCTGGTAGTCCGTAAAAAAAGTAGGTTGTACAGAGATCATTGAAAAATTGAGACCGAATGATATCCATATCTTTTTAATATCAGGCGATCACCTCGATTTTAGGTATTCACCCGTACGATCATCCATTGTAATCGAGCTGAGCGGATATGCACGATCCTCGTTACTTTTTCCTCGAATTGCTTCTCCAAATCTGGACAGCATAAATCAAGCAGACAAAAGCTGCTTCTTACCTTTATAAGATAGCACATTTTCTCTATTTCGTCAAATGGCGACGCTATTATACGACCTGGGAGCGCGCAGTGCTACATGCCAGAAAATTAGATGTCCATATAGGATTTGAACAAAGAAGAACGGTTCACTCTCAGTCCGTTCTCTTTGGCCGGTGAAGGCACTATATCAGCATCCGCTTCAATTTCTTCGTCCAGCGGTCACGACTTAAGAAATGCCTGATTCATGATCTGAAATCTGGCCAGTGAAACCTTCTTGCTGTCCAGAACGTATATTTGTGTCAAGACAAACGACTGCCATCTAAAAAAAGGAAGGCGCAGCTGACTCCACCTTTTCTTCTTCAGCCCTGCAAAACCATCATTCACAGTGAATCGTGAAAAATGCTGAACTCGTATATTTGACGCTGGCGTATTTTTTTACCCTCTTTATGAGACAGTGCTACATTCGATTACGCGGCCTCTTAGAAATGATCGGTGAAGCTCAGGGGCTGTGGGGCGTGTACGCTTTATTTGCTTAATTTGAAGAATATTTTCTCTAGATTACTACCAATTAAAGTATAAAAACTTTTTCGTATGGCGATATAGCAAAATAACATTGCAACGTAAGACAGATTCGACTTACGCGTTTAGAGTCAAAATTGGTGGTCGTAATGTAATCATTTCACTCTCGTAAAGCTCATAATATTTGATATATACACTTGTAGATATAGCTGATATATCTGGCAGATGTGTTGAAGTTCAAGTATACATGGGGGTAAACGATGGTAATCTTATGAGTATCCGAGTCAACAATATCTGCAAAACAGAAGTGTTTATCTGAATCCTAAACATATATTTGTAATGGTAGATAATCTTATAGCGACTTACGATGCACCTTAGAGGATACAATAGCTACTTTATACTTTTACTATCTTGGGTACCAACACCTCATAATCCACATATTAAGCTCAAGATTACCAACCGCTACAAGTTTGTTCGCGCAGCCACTTGGTGATCGCTCCACCCGAGCAAAATGTAGCGTTTCTAGCATATGATGTCTAAAAGCATTAACGAGGGCCATGTAGTCTTTGCGAACTCGTCTGAAAACAGTCTTTTCAAAAATTTATCGTACCAAAGTGGTAAATATTGCATACAAGTGAGTCACATTTTTTTAAGAATGACAGAAAAATTAAATTGGGCGAAGTGCGGAGTACTTTGATCAGAAAAGGGTCTATCACATAGAAAGGCAATGCATATTGTTTACCAGTATAATTGATCGGAAGCTCTTGGTGTGATTTCTCATCGGCTCTTTTCGTAACATGTCAGATTTTTACGCCTGGAATTTCCGACTTACAGTAGGATTCTTATGTGTAATTTTTTATATTCTTCTTTTTTGATTCCGGTAAAAAAAAAGAGCATATCAGAGAGTCAGCTTACTAGCTTGAGAAAAATTTAGGCTAGGCGATGCGAATTGTAAGGAATATGCGGAAGCTTTTCATTCCTCGACGAAGGAAATAAGGTTAAAAACGCTACATCTTAGAGCTTCGTCATTATTAGCTCTTGGCTGAATAATTTTTATAGATTACGTCCGATCGCGTTTCTCGAATTCGACAGAAGAGCTGATCAAGTTATTCATGTAGAAGTGACCACAGATTATGATATCGAGACTACTATAATGATGAATAGTCTTGAACCATGCCATGCATTCTCTGCGTCATCAACTTGTCTTGTAGAATTGCTATCTGACTACGGAACTTTACGTGAATTTCTATTGATGATTCGGTCTTATTGAACGCTTCGACAGCTACAACGACAACTTGTCAATAGATAGCATTGTGCGTCCGCTTGAGATTGCTCGATATTGCAAGAAGACCCCATCCTGGGAGAGGAATCGAGGAGAATTAGTAAAAGCGGTTTAAAAGCTCATCTCAATTTCGCATTAATTTTGGCGCAGTATAACTTTCTACCTTTGTCTTCCTCTCATTTATTATGTTATTGTTACTTATTTGCATGTAATGTTTGTACCGGTACATTAACACAGGCAATCACCAAGTTTTACCGCGGCAGGCAGTGCAAGATAAAAACCTTATCTGAAAGTCTGAGGTTTTTTGTGTTTCTCCCAGCCCCCGAAGTGGGCAGTCATTTGCGCCGGAGAAGACTATTTGGAGGCTGAGGTCCGAGTAGCACCCCAGAGCAACGCCTATCACCGCAAGCTTAACCTCCTTTTCGTGACGCATAATACTCAAACACAGCATTAGCGTATTTAGGTGGCGTGAAGTTACAGTTTTTATTTGCAGAAGCGTTCAGGCATCATGGAGTACGAGGTGTTGTGGGGTGACGGTCCTCTCGGCCTGACTCTTCGTCCCGATCTCGGAGAAGATATGCCACCAGTAGTAGGACGCATCACGCGCTTGGATTCTGCTGCTGCTTTGGCAAATGTAGCCGTAGGACATATGCTGGTAAGCATCAACGGTATGGACACTGCACGCCAGGGGTATGACCTCGTGGTCGAGACGCTGCAGAAGATTCCACGTCCGGCAACACTGCGCTTTCGCGTTCCTCGAGCTATGAACGGTACTCCAAGCGCATATCGTTCTCCTTCGCGTTCTTCGTCCCACCGTAGTCGTGGATCAACAGGCACCACGTGGTCTGACTCTGGTAAGTCTCCTTCGATTTCAAGCAGCTCGTCTACGCGTAGACGTGAACAGTACACTGTAGTATGGACTGAGGGTCCTCTTGGTATGATTCTCCGCCCTGATGATGACGATTGCCACGTGCCATGCATTCGAAAGATAACAGGGAAAGGCGCCGGCACTGGCATGGAACGAGCGACGGTGGGGGACATTTTAGTAGCTGTAAACGGTCAAGAGACAAAGTCACTAGGCTTTCGCAGTACGATCTCGCTGCTGAAGACTATTCGTAAACCGGCAGTGCTCAAGTTTAAGCGGATGGGTCGTCGCATTTCGCGCAATAAATCGACGCTTGATTCATCTGGAGGAAGTCGCAGTGTGAGTGGAGCTCCGAGTGATCTTGGATCTTATGATATTGTATGGCGTGAAGGTGACCTTGGTCTTAAGCTTAAGCCTGGACATCGCGATGTACCTGTGCTCAGTAAACTAACAGGAAAAGGTAGTGCAAGTGGACTTCAAAATGCTGAAGTTGGCGATGAGCTCGTGTCCGTTAATGGTACCGCTGTTGAAGGCGAAGCGTATCAAGTTACTTTGCGCATGCTTAAACACTCTCCAAAGCCGGCAGTGTTGCGTTTCCGTCCAGGTAGAAATCGCCGTGAGTCGATGATGTCGGTAGTTTCGGTATCGTCAGTACGTTCGAACCCAAGTACACAGCGTGAAGTTACAAAAGTTGCAAGTCGCCATCACGTGCCTATGTATGACCACGATGCTCTTCCTCTCGAGACTATACAGCAACCACTACTAGCTAGACGGACCGAGCGCGAGCACTCTGACCGCGATCGTGACCGTGATCGTGATCGTTCTGATCGTGATCGTGATCGTGACCGCGACCGTTCTGACCGTGATCGTGACCGCGATCGTTCTGACCGAGACCGCGACCGTGACCGATCTGATCGAGAGCGACAGAAGCGAAGAAAACGAATACCCTTAGATGTAGCCCGCGAATTAGTGGCGGCATCGCAAGGATCTGACTTGGATCATGCTATTTTCGCTGGCATCCCCATTACTGCAATTGAAGAAGGTTCGAAAGAGGCACATTTGTTAAGGGTTCAGGCCAAGCTTTGCATTGCAAATCAGGCCAAAATTGAGCGTCACACACCCGCTAAAGAGGCACTATCGCGTGCGGAGCAGGAAGCTAAAGTGCTTCAGGAAGCATTGGAAAAGGTAAAAAGCCAGGCAAAAAAGTATGAAGAGATATTGGAAGCACAGTCCCGTGAGCGTGTGTTGGCGCTGGCTGTACGGCACAAGCCTGAAGAAGTGGTCAAACGTCAAAACAATGTTATCAGTGAGCTGACTGGAGTGATTTCGGGATTCAAACGCGACTCGTACGCTGAAGTGAATGTTGTACCGCCTTTGGTTGAGGATGATGATCACGTGCAAAAGATTATGAATGATTTGCAAACTGTTATGAGCATCCCAGTAGTTGTCCCAACAGTAAAGTTTTGTGCCGAGTGCGGCACTACAGAAAATGAATCAAAACTAGATATGGACGAAGATGGCGAGCTATATTGCAAGGATTGCTGGGACAAGTTCTTAAATGTTTCTGGAGCTACCCCAACTGTAGAAAACAACGCTTCTGAAAGTCATTCCACTGTGCCCGAACCAACAGAGATAGAAGGAGATGCATCGCCTGCACACTCAGTGAGTTGCTTGACAGTTGATGACCGTGAGGAAGAAGAACAAAAGGCGCGCGTGGAAGCGGAGCGGAAGCTGATAGAGATAAAGGAGCTTCGTCGCTCTGGATCAATGATGCCTGAAAGGCCGAACAAGAGCAATTTAGATCGGTCACGACGCGAACGTCGTGGTCTTGAAGAGCTTGCGCAAGCGTTACTTGAAGAAGAAGAGCGCGCTCGCGCGGAGGGAAACCTTGGGTTGGCCAAGAAGCTAAGTGCGCAACGTGCGCGGACAATGGCTGAGACAGCTGGAGAGTGTTCACAATCAAGTACGGCTCCGTTTTCAGCTGTTAATACTTTGCCAGTAGACGATAAAGAGAAACTTGCAAACGGGCACGACGGCTTGGCAAGGTCAAACATGTCATCGCCTGTGGATGAAACGCATTTGGATTCGGACTTGTCCATACCTCCTCCTGTTCCAGTGTCAGTCTCGCCGGTTGCTTCCCCGGAACCATCTCCTGTTGCCGACCATCATAATGAGAATGCAGCGATTGTTGCAACGGCAGCAGTTGCAGCAGCTACGGTTACAATGAATACACCGACTTCACCAATTTTGACTGCAGAAGCAACAGCATCGTCGTCGGGTGGCAACGATTACGCGGACGTTAATTCGGACGAGGAAGCGGAAGATCAAATGCATATGAATGATGAAGAGGACGTGCTGCGTGAGGTGGAGGAGAAAAACTTTGCGCTAGCTCGGCAATTAGACGAGGCTCATAGCGTAATTGAACGTGCGCGAATGTCTATTAGCATGTGTGGGGAAGATGACGAAGACGAGGTTGGCGACGGCCTTAGCGAAGAGCAAATTAGTTTATTTAAGAAACTAACGAATCAGGCGGAGGAGCGTATGTCTATGGTTGACCGCCTGCACCCGCAGGACGACTCAGACTCGGATTCCGATTCGGACTCTAATGAGGAAGAAGAGGAGGAAGAGGAAGACGAAGGCGTGTGGATCTAATCCCGTTAAATAGTAGCAGCAGCAGTGGAACATCGGACTGATGAGTTGGCAAATTGGTAACCTGTACAAACAAGTGAGCAAGCCGTCACTCCTTGAATTAGATTTTTGTGGCTTATCGCTGCTGTCTTGAAAACAGTAGCGGCTGGACAAGGGTATTCGTATCGCACTTTTGCCCGTTGTGGTGTCTATGCCTAGTATGTGAGTAGCGATAGCCTTATCCACTCTTCCGTGTTCGCAACATAAGCAAACATTCTCGTGTTGTCTTGCATCGATGTACAGTTAGTTGTAGGTATCTTATGTCACCTGCGATTGGTTGATACTTGTCTAATAATCATAAGTGTCTCCTTTTGACAAGATGACCGCCCCTGTTGATGACGTCGCTGCGCCACCAGCACAACAAAGCATAATGGACCGCGTGTGGCCGATGCTGCGCATGTTTTTTATCTATTACGCTGTCACGTCTGCAATCAGCATATTCGTGCCACAGCCGCAAAGCCATCCTCAATCTACAGTCCTGGACGCTACGAATGCGGCTAACTCAAATAGTGCCCCCTCAAAACAGCAACATTTTCACAACTCCTTTCGTCTTGGTGCTCCAATCAACCTCAGAGTGTATGTTACGCCGGAAAAAAGCTTCACTTTTGCTGACTCTGCGGACGCTATTGCCGTCGAGAGAGAACAGGAATCGCTACGCTGGTTTGAAAATGCACTTAAATATGACAGCACACCCAATCCCGAGCGTGAAGATGGTGTGTGGATCCGCAAATTAAACGTGTCTGTTGACGATTACCTCCTTTCCAATGGATCGCTTTACGCGCACGTGTTCTTAACCAAAGATGGTTGCTCACCTAACCCAACGGACGGAGCGTACGATGCCATGGGATTTATCCATCGCTCGGTGGCGCTAACTGTCTTTCGTCCACCGCCTAAGATTACGAAGAAACGCAATTTGCTTGAGATGCTCTCTGCTGAACAGAAGCAAGAAGGAATTGATGACGATGCATTACAAATTGCTGACGTTGACTCAGATGTGTATATCTCGATGTGGAAGCCTTCGTTTTCTATCAACGTGGTGCTGGACCACACAACTTATTCAACTAAACAACCACCACCACCTTTTGTGTCTACTGAAATGAAGCTGGACAAGACGGCAGGGCTGTATTCCCCTGTCCTCTTTATTAATGAGTTCTGGCTGCTCGAGGAGCATCTGATCCCTATCAATGACACGCTTACAACCTTGCCACTTGAACTCTCATTCTATCCGCTGCCATTGTACAAGTTTGTATTGTACACACAGATGGAACAAAGTTTTCGCAATCAAGAGCTATCAGGTGCGTCCTCAAGGCGTGACACAGACAACATGAAGAGCATGTTTATTGAAACGAATCCATACCTACTAGCGGTGACATTGCTAGTTTCATTGCTGCATTCGCTCTTTGATTTCTTGGCATTTAAAAACGATGTGAGCTTTTGGAAAAATCAAAAGTCATTTGCAGGCTTGTCATTACGTACCATCGTGCTCAACACTTTCTTCCAGCTTGTGATTTTCTTATATCTCATGGATAATGACACATCGTGGCTGATCCTGATCCAGTCAGGCATCGGACTGATCATCGAAATGTGGAAAATAAAAAAAGCGGTTGTTTTCTCTCGTGATGCCAACAACAAACTCATTGTATCTGGTGCAGTGAGTTACGAAAAGTCATCAACAGCGGAGCATGATCGTGTTGCCGTGGCTCACTTATCGTACGTTTTGTATCCATTGATTATCGGTCAGGCTGCATACACACTCGCATATGGAGTGCACAAAAGCTGGTACTCATGGGTTATCTCTAGCCTAACGAGCTTTGTGTATGCGTTCGGCTTTATCATGATGACACCGCAGTTGTACATAAACTACAAGCTTAAGTCTGTGGCACATTTGCCGTGGCGTGCGATGGTCTACAAGTCGCTGAACACATTTATTGATGACCTCTTTGCATTTGTGATTAAGATGCCTTGGATGCACCGCTTAAGCTGTTTTCGTGATGATCTCATCTTCTTCATATACCTGTACCAGCGTTGGAAGTACCCGGTGGATGCTAGGCGCACAAATGAGTTTGGTCAGGGTCCGACTGAGAGCGCACAATCGTCAAATGTCATCAAAAGCGCTGTGGTATCAACCAATGACAAACCAAACCTAGATCTTAAGGAATTAGCTGCTGCAGTTGACGCAACAGAAGAAATTTTGCCCTCGCCATCTTCTTTGCCGTCGACAGAGTACATAATGACAAAGCGTCTGAACACTCTTGAGAAAGAAGTGCCTAGGATGGAGAAATAAAGTGTAGGTGCAGTAGTACAATTGATAGAACGATCGATGCCGTGTGGTTGAAGTATCATGCTGTCAGAAAGAATAGTATTGTCATAGGCATTTATGTTGTTGCTGTTGTACTGTTTTTTGGTTACTTTCTCGTATCCCGGAAACAGCGCATTGGATTGTTAAAGCAGGAGTTTCTTCAGCAAGAGACGCTTGAAACGCTGTTGTTGTGAGAGCGCCGTAATAATGGATTTCTCGTCAGGGTTTGCCTCAGAGCAGCTGTTAGATGATGATGCTGACATTGATATCTCACGACTTGCGGTTGAAGACCGTGAAGCCATCATGGCGCGTGTGACACCCGATGACAGCACTCCACCCGATGCATTTGCTCTAGCACAAAATGACATTCGCCGTGAGGTACCACAACACTTACGTAACGAGCTGTTCAGTTAATCACTAACAAACATTTGTAACTAGATGATCGATCGAGGCATTCAACCAAAGGGATTTTATAATGACGACGCAGCACGACTGCAAGAAGAATATAATCGAGAACATGCGATGGAGAAAGATTTTCGTGTACAACAAAAGATTCAACTCGCTGCCAAAGTTTATCTGCGCGAAACCGTTCATCAACGCAGACTTGAGCGCGAAAAAGAATTGCGAGAAGAAGTTGAAGAAATCGCGAAAAACCCACAGCTCGAGATTTGGATTAGTCTAGCCAAAGCTGACGAAACTCCAAAGCATGCTGATATACGTGTGACTAGTATTGGAGCTCGAGCACTTTGCAAGACGCTGGCATTTTCACACTCGCTACGGTCTTTAAATCTCAACCGAAATGCACTTGACGACACAACGAGCAAATGGTTAGCGTTGCTTCTAAATCGCAACACGTCGCTTCGTCGTTTAGAGCTCGAAAGCAATTGCCTTGGTCCGCTAGCAGCAAAACATCTGGCCGAAGCTTTGTGTACCAACGATTGCCTCGAGTATTTAAACCTGGAAAGCAATCCCTTGACAGACGAGGAAAGAGATTTTACTGGCGTGGTGGCGCTAAGCAATATGCTTGGCAAGAACAATTCTTTGCGTACGTTGAATTTATGGCGAACACGACTGGGAGGAGAAGGTGGCAAGCAATTAGCACTAGCAATTGCTCGCAACACTGCAATGGTGTGTTTAGATGTGGGAAACAACCGTATTGCCACGTCCGATGCTGTCTTAATCGAGATACAATTAAAGAAGAATCGAGCGCTATTCGAAAAGCAACAATCGCAGCAGCTAAAAGTTCGTGAGGTCCAGCGGAAAGCAGCAGCTAAGGAGCTTCAGCGGCAAGAAAAAGCGGTGAAAAGACAGGAGGATGTAAGGTTGAGATACTTAATGTTTGGTGAGGCACCCCCTAATGTTTGTGTACTAAGGAAACATGGATGGAAAAGCGTAAGCTGGAGCGTGAGAATGATCGTGCACTACTTGAAGAACAACGGCAACGATACCTTAAAATGGAGGAAGATCGACTGCGGCAAGTTGCAGCTCGAAAAGCTGCCGAGTTTGCGGCTAAAATCGAGATGGAAAAGAAGAAAAAGAAGAAAAAGGGTGGGGGTAAGAAGAAGAAATAGCAAATGATATGTAGACACTTGCCGCTCCAGTCATCACTTCTTCAATATCCAGCTTTTTAACGTAATGTCAAAGCGTCTTTTCACTTTTCAGAATACCAGCATATTGCTTGCGTCAATATCCTACTAGCACCACACAAATGATGTTGTTTGTCATGATCTAAGTATCTGAACAGCAAATTGAATCGATATACCAGAGGGACAACTATTCTACAAAGTTTGCTTGTCGTCGCAATCAAAAGAACGAAAAAGCTTCAATTTGCTTCTAATATTTTTCATCTAAATGTCGCGTCCTCCATCTTGACTCAGTTTATACATCACCTCTTTTCATTATTCCAAAAACTGTTTTTAAATTATTTTCATGCTGACGATACTTCGGCTTGTTGATTGCGCTCTTGCTAATGATGCCACCTTAGTACAGATGTTCAAACTCACTCGTCTCATCTGTAATGCCCAGCATGAGCTCATCCTCTACTTGTTCAATAATGTTATCTATCGCACTTATCCCCGGAAAAGTTACATTTTGAAAACTAGACCCACTTTCACTCGATGCATTATCTCCCTTGAGTCGTCGAAGTCTTTCCACTAAATCATCTTCTCTCGGTGCGGGCCCAATTTCTCGATTGTTTAAAAGTGCTAACCGAGCTGTTAGATCGATCGGTGGAACCTGAGCTTTCTGTTGTGCAGAAAATCGACGAAGCTCATCTAATCGAGCAGTGATTAACTTAAATGACTCCACATTCGTCTGTGTTGTCACCGAAGGGGCAACAGCATTACAAGCATTCAGCTTTTCATTCACAACATTCTTGTTCTTCACAAATTTTTTGATTATTGTTTGCTGCAGATCTGCTCTTCTGGCTTTCAGCAATTCCCGCGATCTGTCATCAGTTAGAAGTTCAGCCTTTTCGAATCCCCTCTCAGCTTCCATATATAATTTTATCGCCTCATCTTCATCAGTGCTTTGTTGCGCTTCCTCAAGAGTAGCAAAGGCGTCATCAAGTAGCGTTCTTTTGTTGATGACTGATATGCCTCCTCTCAAAGCGGAAAGCAGTCGCTGGCGCGTGTGCTCCATATCGACAAAAACCTCAACGATTTGGGTTTTTGTTGCAGTTTGGTACAATTGAGTAAGCCTGACATCATCAAACGACCGCACCGTAAGCCTAAGGAGCTTTTTGGTCTCCTTGAGGTCTCCTGTTCGCTTTGCAGCATCCTCTGGCATCGAATCGAGAACCAGATACTTGATATGACCCAATACCAGCACGACTTGAGGCTGCACCCAGAACGAAAACATTTCATAGTAGACAGAAGCAGATACTTGGCTAAAGCGAGGTGAGTATAAGGTAGTCTTGGGCTCCAGTAGCAGCCACGCGATGGTCTGGAAGACCATGCTTAATATGTGTAGTTTTTTGCGAATTTTTTTAAAGAAATCACATAAACTTAAACGTAAAATAGTCTGATCTGGTGAGATTGTGAATATTCATAAGTACAGATATTTTGAATATCTCTATTTATGAGAACGTCTATATTTGGTATTAGTCAGGACTCTCGTATCCGAGGCTGACGAACCCAGCTTCTGTGCGTTTGTTTACTTGGACTCTAAGAGCCAAAGCAAAATTTGCGCAACGTGCGCGGCAACACCGTTGCATGTCATCAATCCTACGACCGAGTCGTGTAAAGACTGTATGCGAAGATCGAACATGAAATGCATAAATACCTGTCGCCACGAGCTGAGGAAACATTTTGTCTATTGTCAATCACGATGGGAACAGGAATTTGGCGGTCAACGGGCCAGAAGCGGGCCAGCTTTGAGAATGGAGCGACTCAACCGGGCGCCGGTAGAGGAACAGGAGAATCCCACCGTCGGAACGCTGATATTTAGTGTTTAAGCTTTTGAAAGCCGGGACAAGGAACATCTTATTTCGAGTGAGGACGCGAGATGACCATAAACTCGTCCTTATCCCAAACGGAGCCACGGCACGTTTCGCTTGCGACCTCTAAGCTAGGTGGTCACGCGGGAGAAAGAATACTGAAGCTCAAAATATTTCCGTGAAGTGGGCGTTTAATCACCGCAAAGGCCTTTAATCCTCTCCCAGAGGTAGCCTCAAAGACGTTGGGCTGCTAACCGAAAATAATCGGGCACCCCAGAGTAGGGCGGCTAATTGAGAAGAATTGGACTCTTTTGAAACAAATGAAAGTGATGGTCAATGAGTAGCCTTCGAAGAAGCAACTTCTTACAAAAGAGCTGACGTTCACATTCTAGGGTTGTAAATATCACCATTGGGTGCTGTGAAGCCGTGATAAGCCCTTGTAGATTACGGATGTCGTACAACTACGTACGACACGGGACAATTGAAAACAGCTTTCAGTAAGCGGGTGCATCGAAGATGCCAGATATGGATACAATGTTCGTGCGTCTTGTTACGGGGACACCGAAAATAGTGTCGGGGATTCTGTTGAATACGGATATGACGTTTAACTGTCCAACGTTGTACCAAGATTCGAGAAATGATCTCATTCTAGGCATGGAGCGGCTGGAACGCCACGAGACATGGAGTCGACTGAAAGTCGATAAATTAGGTGCGACGCGCTTCTCTCCTAGAAAAGCTGGTACAATACTTTAGCAAGACTGGTGCAAGCATGAAAGTGCAATGCCTCCCGTTTAAAAACCTCCACACTGTTGAACAGTGAAACTCCGCGGGTAGGGAACAAATACGGTTATTCTCTCGATTTTGGAGCGACCGATAGTCCTAGGAGCCGTAAATATTTCCTTGCTATCACCGGTAGAAGATCTAAGTGAGCTGAATGAATCATCTCTCGGGGATGTATGATAGATGCCAAAATGAAACGGTTGAAACTATAGGATGAGTTGAACTCGTCATACGTCATTGATGAATCTGTCATTGAAGACATTCAAAGAGCACTGAGGTGAGAGATGGAATAGCTATCAACATACATTTCCGGTATCATTTCTATCGTGAAGGGACATCCTGATGTAGTGGTAAGAGTTTCTATCCGGCGTGTCACCTCTTTAAGGGAAGTGCGTCATGGAAGTGACTAGACTCTGTAATCAATTTTTCGTCACACGGCAATCGTTCCTACCAATAAAATCGCGTGATGTCATTAACGCTTTCATTCATGCAAGCATGGATCAGGTTTAGGGAAAGAGAGTTAAACTCATCACTCAGGGTTTACTTTCTTTGTCAGGTAGGATGACGGCTAGTGGCAAACTAATCATGATTGTATTAAGCTACAAACTGCGACGATTTTGGAGGAAACGCCGAGTTCAAAAATAGACGTATTGCAGGATAGTTTGATCGGTTGCACTTTATTCAGCTTCCTCGACCTAGAAGATGATTGTTATCAACTGCTGACGAAAGCCAGCGATGTCCCTTTCATTGTGGTGAGTACTCCGCGCGGGATAGCTTGTCATGCCTTGGCTGTGGATTGCACCAGCGACGTTCAATCTTTGACATAGCTTCTCAAGCAGCAACGTGATTGCACAAAACTAATTTCATTAAAAACAGAACCTGCGGGCAAATCTTGCGAAGATAATGGCCATTGTAGTTTGGGCAGTGCCCTTCTCTCTGATGAGTTTGAAGTAGCGGCTCTCCCCTGGTCAAGTGCTTGCACAAGTACAATGCAAACTATGCCGACATGACAGGACCTCCAATCTCCTTTAAAAATTGTTATGTGCTCAAAAGTATGTCCTTCATATTGCCTCATGCGTACCCCATTTCTAACAAATCCAGTTGAAGATCTATGACGTTACAGCCGTTGCAGTAGGGTACACATTACTTAAACCAGCGCCAATTTACATGATCACACGCGTGATTGTATATGTATATCGCCAGCTGGAAGCGGTAAACATGAACTAATCCGTTCGCTACCTCCAATGATGTATGCCTCCGTCAAGTTATGCTTGCACCTGCTTGGCTTCTTGCCGTTTGTGATTTACTTCGTTACACAGAGCGAAGTCATCAGCACATCTTCACATATAAAAATCAAGACAAATATCTTTTTTGCCGAATATTCCATCTGTGCGGTTTGAGCTGACGTGTTGACATAACAGCTTTCGCGTCACTTCGATGTTGAAGTGTCGCATGTCGAAATGATGACGATGTCGATCAATAAGGCAGTACGATCAGCAGATGGGTCAGTTGTGACATTTGTGACACTGCTAAAAGCTTTGAAAAAGCAACGAATTTGTTAATTTTGATGCCAATAATCGAAGCGTGCGGTCGCACGCCTGCACCACCGTGCCTCATATCGTGGCTTGCTTCGTTTTATCACTGATCCACGTGCCACTCAGTGTGCAGTGAAGTCTTATGACGAGAACAATAATACAAGAGCAAATAGTTTCCTTTCGGGTAGCCATCTTAACAGAGCAAAAACATACTGCTCAGTCAGCGCTATGTATTGTTGGATCAGCATGTATAGGCGGATAGGTGCATATGTACGCGCGAGCATGGTGTAGGAGAGGGTTGCCGTCAATTAATTTGCTTACGCTAGTATCGCAGTAGATGCCGTTACAGGTTCTACCTGTATTACATAAATGGTTGTGTTAGCTCCCGGCTATTTTTGACCCCGCCGCCAATTGGACTTGGTCCCAGTGGGGACTGTCGATCGAAATTGACTAGCTGATATCAGCCCGGCTACACTTCATAGCGTGACCAGCAACTTTATCTCGATAAGATTATGCATCATGCGCAGGGTGCACAACGCTATGACAGACAGCAAAGGCAAACAAAGAAAACACCCCGACTCCAGAGGTACAAAATACACACGAATATGCTGCAGGGAGAAGTGTTTGGTTTAATGTGGCAAATTTGCTTCCACATAGTGGACAGGACCAAGTTGCGACCGCGTTACATTGGACCGCTCATGGTCGTGGCGACAAAGAAACAGAGTCTAACTCTAAATTTCCCAAGATGTTTCGAACACCTTCGGTATTCTATTTAGGCTGACTGAAGCCATGATAAAATTCCATTTTCTTAAAGGTACGTAGGACGTGAAGAGCTTTGTTGCAGAGGAAGCAACGTCTCCCATCCTTGATAGCTGAACTACCTTCTGCTTTATATTAGCGATGCGGTTACGAACCACTGGAGGTGCCTCAAGACAGACAGTGCAATAATTTTTTTGAATTAAAACGTAAACCTGGCTCGTCTCAGCCTCGGACACGCGCAGTGATTTTTAAAGTGCATCAACGTGTCGCATTAACTGGAAGAGCCACGATAACCTGATACAGTAGTGTCGGCCACCGTCCTTTTCCCTTGTCTTCTTTTAGAATATAAGCTCTTACACTGCCCGATGAGAAAAGGGCGGTCTACTTAATGCAAAATGCGCGATGGGCCGGCGGGTTTACCAGATTGTCATCAGCTGCTTGTGAAATAGAGGAGATACCGTTAATTTGGAAGCTTCTTGAATTTGTGGCTCCACTCCTACAAGATTGCCTCGATTCCGAGGCAAATGTCGAGCTGATGCAACTTCGACCTTAATATTCCTTACCAAAAAAGGGTAGTCAGTCGCAGCGGGTTTGATACTGGTGGGAGGCGACCGACCTTGCAGCAAAAAGTTGACCGTTAGCTGTTAAAGCTGTCTCACGGATCGTTACAGCAGAACTTGAGGTGATGATTTTTTGACACCTCGACATCCGCTTCGTGCTTTAAATTTGCAAAGTCAAGCATAAGACGACACTCTAAGCGTTTGATTAGTTAATGCTTGATTGGCAAGCCATGATGCGAGTGAAACGCCAAAATTATGCGGTAAGTCATTCATAAATACTAGCGGCAATTAACAAAAGATTCTGGTACTTAACGATACATCACTCTTGGAGGGCACGGGTTTCTTCGACCTATACTGCTCAATGCATAGACAGTTCTACTGAGAAGTTTTGACCTGTGGATTTACAAAGACTTTTGAAACAAATGTTTTGGCCTTAATAATTGCGAAAGGCACATATGCAAAGGTGTTACGGGGTTACACGTACCCTTGTATAGAAAAGTGGATAACAAAAGATGATATGACGGCCCAAAGTTGTGGATTACACAATGGTTTGGCTACACCGCAACAAGAAGCCACTACGTGGCGGGACTGCCAGTAGTTATGTATATTGATTAGGCCTTACTATTTAATAAGAAAAACGTTTTAGATAAAGGCGGCTCTGCCCCAAATAAAACAGATTAATACAGTTTTAATTTTGAACGGAAAAACAACTTTGCCTTGGTTAAGCTTTGACAGTACTCTTAAAGTTAGCGGATTGCGATCCGCTACACTTGTAGTGGTTCTGGTATACAATGTTAGGTCAGTGACTTTAGTAACTTCCTTTGAGCAAAAAGCAACGGCAGCCCCGCTACTGAGTCGTTACGACTGATTCTCTGTGAGGTTGGA